CGCAGCCTCCCTGTGCGGGGCGCGCCGCCCCAGGGCCCGCCAGGGCCACCCGGGCCTTGCGTTTGAAGACACCTCTCAAGTCAGCGTCCTCCTAACCTCACGGGTCGCCTGGGTCCTTTCAGTATCTTTGGGAGGGAGAGAGGATTTCCATGCCGCTGACCAGTCCGGCTAAACCAGAATCTAGGCTCAGGGCAGGACTGAGACTGGCTGATCTGAAACAACTCAGATGGTTCTCCGGGTTTCTGTTCTTTCTGCTTGTGTTTTCAGTCTTTTTGTGCTTGTCTTTCAGAACAGAGGTATCTGGTTTGGTAATCTGAAGTTTAATTGCGTTCATTGTGTTCATACTATCTGCCCCTGTAGGGTTGGAGTGAATTTATAGTCATGTTGTGGTTCTTTATTCTGAGCGCGCGTGTGTGTACATGCACACGTGCAGTGTAATAAAAATGCTTCATTCCAGAAATTAAATATTTTAAATATTTCTCCACACCATAAGTATTTGAAATATCCTTGATGTGTTTTTTAAAATCCCAACTGTTTCCCTCCTGGATTTTTATTTTATTTGGTCCACAATGCTTAACTCACTCTGTGAAGTTGGTCATACCCGACTGCATGCTCTTCAGAACTGTTGTGATAATATATAGTCAAAAAAGATTCATTTCTGTGTTACAGGGATCACATGATTTTGAAATAAACATTATCTTTTTGGTTGAATGAAGCTATTTACATGAAATAGTTTATTGTTTAGCCATTTTTAGTAGATGCATACTTCCCCACTGAAACTAAAAAAACTTTTTTTAATGAGAGGGAAATCAAAATTAAATATCATGGGGAACCTTGACTGGGAAAGGTTCATGTTTCACAGGAAAGCGTAATTTGAAGAGAGAGAAGGATTACATATGAGCTTTATTATTTTTTAGCCTTGGTTGTCTTTGTACCACCTCTTGAAAATTATAGAATGAATGTTAACTGGAAGAAAAATTTGTTTAGCAGATTCAAAGACAGAAGTGTGGAAAGATTGCGACTTGTCCTGGGTTACTCAGTCAGTGAGGGGCAGAACTGGAACAGAGGTCTAGTCCATTGTCCCCACTTCAGGGGATGCTTCCTGGAACAGGGAACAAGGAAGGTGGAGCCCTCCTCTCCCGTCACTGGTAGAAATTTGCTGATGCAATATTTTGACTCCACATCTCTAATACATTTCGTTAAGATTGCTAGGGTTTCCTAATTTTGATAAGTATTTGAGGTTTCTTTTTTTTCTAACCTGTAAATTATAAAGCAAAAATAGAACCATTTCAGCAGATCGTTAATTCAAATCATCAACTGCCTGCAGCCTGCTCATGTGTATAGATTGTAACATTTGCATTTGAAACCACTGATTTGCAACTTACTTCCACTTTCATTTATCTACCCCAGTGCTACCAGCTGTTCTGGTCACAAGTCCAAGAGGGTAGAGGAAAAGATGACTAATATTGAGCAATATTTTCAGTAATTTTGGCTTAGGAGCCGCTTGGTATCTATCGTTCCCTGTGCAGGGCAGCCCCGCATTTGGGTCTGGTTTGCATTTATCCGGTGAACGCACTCAAGTTGAAGGTGGAAGTTGTAAGAGTAGGATTTCTCAACCTTACCACTAGTGACATACTGGGCGGCATAACTGTTGTGGGGGCTGACCTGTGCGTTGCAGAATGTTTAGCAGCATTACTGGCCTCTACCCCCTGACTGCCAGTAGTATTCCCCAGGTCATCGTGGCCAAAAGTGTCTCCTGATATTGCCAAATATATACCCCCTAGATGCCAGGAGCCCCACGGGGGGAGGAGGGTGTCAAAATTGCCCCATGTTCAGAACCTCAGATTTAGAGTATTGTCTTGCAAATTTCTGATGAGAGATCATTTTATTGGCTGTTATACAGTGTTATCTCTCTTATTCTCGCTTAAGCTTTGGGCAGGGGGCCCTACTCCTTGGAAGGCACATTTGAAACATTTGATTTTGAAAGAGAAGGAGGACTTAACAAAAGCTCTAAGTTTTCACACATTCTTTCTCTCCCTTCTCTACCCTACCATTTCTTCCAGGGTCATCTTTTCCTTAGTTATCCTGCACGCTCATTGATTGCTTTTATTTTTCCTGCCTCTTGGCATACAGTATACCTAGGCTTCTTCTGTCTTTAAGGGGAAAAACATACACACACACACACAATTACATACATATATATATACACACACATATATATCCATTCATAGATTCCATGTTGTGTATTTGCCTACTTGCTAGAGTTTGTTTGTAACCACCAATACAATACTCATGTAGCTTATATGTTCGGTTCCTGGACATACAAAGTGGTGAAATACGGTAAAATATTCAAGTCTTCCAATATCGCCATTCCCAGCTGAGATCAAATAAGGTGAAGCCCTACCTAGTTTCAGTTTTCATATTGTAAACAAGTGTCCTTTCTGTGGTCTATTTATTGCTATGTGTTTTTAGATTTCTCTTCTTTTTGTTGGTGATTTCACTGTTTAAAATGGTCCCCAAGCATAGTGCTAAAGTGCAGGCCAGAATTCCTAAATGCAGGAAGGCTGTCACATGCCTTACAGGGAGAATACACGTGCTAGAGACGCTGCACTCAGGCATGAGGTACTGTGGCTGCTGGTCCTGGATTCAACATTAATGCGTCAACAGTATATGTTAAATAAAGTCACTTTAAACAGAAATACACATAACACAAGTTTTATATTGATCAGTTGATGAAAATGTTGTCACCATAGACTCCTGGCCACTTAACTGTATTTCCCGTAAGATCTGCTGTTCAGTATTCCCTAATTCAGTGTTCCAGCAACTTTGTAGAACCTAACTGCCTTGAATAACAAGAATGGACTCATGTGTGTGTGTGTGTGTGTGTGTGTGTGTGTGTGTGTGTCCTTGTATGGAAAGGGGATTAACAATACAGGCAAGATTTTGAAAGAAATGGAGCAGGATCTTGTGAGGAGCTCAGCGGAGGGATTAGCTTTAAACGAAAGGGAGTCCTGAGACACTACTTCCTTTCTTGCAGTTCCATCCTCTCGACTCTTGTCAGCCTACTGTTCTGTCTCTAGGTACTTTTTCTTGGACTTCACTTTTTTATTTTTTGTACTCCCAGGCTTAATCCTGTGATTGATTTACTCTCTAAGAAACTTTATCCTAATGGCTTTATCAGTTGCCTTTATGAAAAGGATTTTGTTGTTTCTTTTTAATCATAACCGTAAAAAATACTAAACTACAACTTGTGTGTCTGTTCCATGCCACATGTCCAACCTCGTAAGTAGCAGAGAAGGGACTTTTGAACCAGAGTCTTCTTAAAAGGCCTTATTCTTTCGCTTATACCAGAGGTTGGCAAGTCTGGCCCACTGCCTGTTTCTGTAAGCGGAAGTTACTAGGGTACAGCCAGGCCTGCCCGGCCGCGGGCTGCGCTCCCGCTGCCCGCAGTGGCGGGACTGTGTTGCTTAAGTCACTGCAGTGCAGACCGCGCGGGCTCGCAAAGCCAGACTTAGCCCCACCGGCCCATCCCCATACCGCGCTGCCTCTCCCCTGAGCTTTAATTCCAGGCACCTGTTGGGTGTAGTAAACACCTCTCCTCGGATTTTATTCTGGTAACTTAAAGCCACTTTATGTTACGTCCACCACTGAGGAATCAGGACAGGGCATTGCGGGCATGGTTGGCTCTTCCCTGAAGCCTGGGGCCTCAGTTGAGAAGATGTGGCATTGGGGATAGAAGCGTCTAGAGCAGCAGTCTGGCCATTGCTGTGAATGAAACATTGTGGAGCACACGGCATCTGTTCATCTGCTGTCTGTGGCTGTTTGTCCCTGTAACAGCACTTCTGACAAGGCCTTGCGGCCTGCAGAGTCTGTAGTGCTTCCTGCATAGCCGTGGAGAGAAAAGGTAACCAGCATCTGATCGAGAGGCGTGTTCTCTCTCATCTGGCAGTGGACACCAGCTCTTAACTGGGGCTTTTGACCAGAGCACCTACGTGCGGCCTTCCTGCAAAGCCTGGGCGCTTTCCCGGCGTGGTAGTCTTAGGGTAGCTAGATTCCTTACGTGGCAGCTCAGAGCACCGAAAGCAGTGTCTCAGCAAACAAGGAGGAGCTGAAAAACCTTTTCTGACCAGTCTCAGGAATCCTGCATTGTCATTTGTGCCACATTCTGTTGGATGCAAGCAGGTCACAAGCCCATCCACACTCTGCCCTCCACCAGCTCTCAGTGGGAGGAGTGGCAAAGATCTGGGGACTGTTCTCGGAAATTCACACGTGTTCTTTCCCCAGATCACACCCTTCAGATTTTTCTCTCTCATTCGACAGTGCTATTGTTCTGTCGGTTTTCTGGGCCTGAAAACTTACTCATCCCCGTTTTCTTTTTCTATTTGCCACGGCAATTTATTTCTTCCTTCCTTCCTTCCTTCCTTCCTTCCTTCCTTCCTTCCTCTTGGGTGTCTTGTATTCTCTTACTGTCACAGACCTCTGTACCCCTGTAGCAGAATGCAGTGTGCACTCTCTACTCACGGGTCTCTTCCAGCTCATGGTGTACATACCATGAGGAGTGTGTGTGTGTGCATTTTAATCTATGGATTTCATCAAATTCTCAAGGGGCTAGTTACACCCTCCCCCCCAAAAGTTTAACAACCATGTGTCGGGGGCAGGGGGTCCAAAGCTATCCCCACATTTGGAGATTTGTTAGAAGGATTCAGCATATAACGTGGCTGAGGTTTATTACAGTGAAAGGATACACAGTAGCATCAGAGGGGGAAAAGAAATGAGTAGAAATCTGAAGAACTTCATGCACAGACATGCTCATGCTCTCTCCTTCCTGTGAGGGCACACCAAGCATGTTACTTCTCCAGCAGTGAAAACTGTGGTAACGTGTGCAGTGTGTCTGCCCAGGGAAGCCTATTAGAAACTCAGGCCCAGGGCTTTTACTGGGGTCTGGTCACACAGGCACTCTGCCTAGCAAGTATCAGAATTCCAGACTCCTAGAAGGAAAGCAGTGCTCAGCATAGACTTCGTTTTTTGCTTAAACTAGGCATGTATACTATGCATCCTTATCAGGGACAGGTGGACACTCAAAATCCGGGTTCTCAGATGCTAACCAAGGGCCAGCCCCGTAAACAGACTCTCCTAAAAAGAGCATCCTCTGGCTTGTCATAACTTTTCTGCACAAAACCACCTCCTGCACATTTTTTTTAAATTGTAAGGGTTTATTTTGGTTAAGGGGGTTGGAGGCAATCAGGTTTGTTTGTTTGTTTTTGTTTTTAATGGAGGCTCTGGGGATTGAATCCAGGACCTCATGCATGCTAGGCACGCACGCTGCCACTGAGCTGTACCCTCCCCAACCCCTGCGCATTCTTGGCGTGGCCTCTAATTTCCTATCTGGTTTTTCCTCCCTTCTCTCCTCTGTCTGAATCCTGTACCTCTTGTGGAATCCAGTCCAAGAAGCAACTCACCCTGTTCCCTCCCCGCTGCCCCTTCCAAGGAGCTGGTACACGTCTCCATTCCACCTCTCACAGATCCCCCTCCGTGTTTGTACCACTTATATGGCCCTTAGCCGGTAGTGTCTTATTACTTAATATTTTTTTGTCTGTGTGTCCTCCCAGGGCACAGTGCGAGCCCTCCGAGGTCAAGCATCCTGCACGTGTCCCCCAGCACGCTGTGTCGCCTTAGTCATGGCGTGTGTCTTACTGTGCTGTGGTTGTCCGTAACGTGTGCTTCTTGAGAGCCGGGACCGAGTGAAGCACAGGGCCTGGAACATTGTCTCTCCCGCAGCAGGCACTAAGGAAAATTTTACAGAAACTAAACTTCATATCCCCCACCCTGCGCAAGCAGAGCTCACGTTACTCACATCATGATAAGTCACGTCATGATTAACATTATTTTCAAGTAGAATCCTTCTCTTTTAATAATCTTCTGTCCTTTGTATTTTGATGCTAACAGTATTGTAATGCCTGTGCTGAGTTTGGTGTTCTAAATTTCACTGCCATCTCACTGGATCTGAACCTTTTCCATGGCAGGGTGCAGACTCATCTGAGCGTGTCATTGCTCCCATGCGGTGGGGCTTGGTCCCGTATTGGTTTAGGGAAAGCGACCCTTCCAAGCTGCAGTTCAACACTTCCAACTGTCGCAGTGATACCATAATGGAGAAACGGTCCTTCAAGGTATGTTGCTGGTCTAGGGAAACGGCACGTGCTCTGACGTTTTATCTACCAGAACTGTTGATGCCTTGTACACCTGAGAAGTAAGATAAGGTTCTCTTTGGAACCTTCCTTAAGGTTCCGGAGGCGAAAACCCCAAAGTGTGTTCCCAGCTGTTAACAGAGAGTGCTCTTCTGTTTGTTACCATGTGACAAAGCATGCCAAAACTCAGTGGTTTAAAACAAAACAGCAGCTTATGATTTCTCGTGTTCTGTGGGTTGACTAGGCTCACCGGAGTTTTCTCGCAGCTGGAGGTTCTCATGTTGTAATCAGAGGGCAGCTAGATGGCCAAGATGACTCTTTAAGCCGCATGTCTGCCACCTCAGCTGGGATGAGCAGAACAGCTGGGACCCATTCGCGCGCCCGGCTGGGGGCCGTCAGGGTGGTCAGGCTTCTTTCCCGGCAGCCGGCTTCCCCGGAGCCCGTCGTCCAGGAGAGCAGGCAGGCGCCGCATCGCTTCTGCTGCCTGCTGTGGGCTGTGCAGAGCCAGCCTGGGGTCTGCGGGGGAGGGCCCGCGTGGGTCCTCGGGGCCGGCGTTGGAGACTAGCCACCGCAAGTGCCTGTTTGTCAGAGAGCTGTTCCTGCGACGTACATTATCTAATCTTTTCAGCATCTGTGTGTCACTTTGTACATGAGAAAAGTGAGGTACAGAGAAATCGACTGCTCTGAGGTTGCCACACATTGGTGGACCTGAGATTTTCACTCAAGTCCATGAAACGTGCTTCCGTCACTGAGACCACGTCTTTCTCACATTTTCCCGCAGGTGCCTCTGGGAAAGGGAAGACGCTGTGTGGTCTTGGCAGATGGATTCTACGAGTGGCAGCGATTTCCGGGAGTAAGCGAGACGCAGCCGTACTTCATCTACTTCCCCCAGGTCAAAACAGAGAAGGTACCTTCAGCAGTGCTTTCACTAGCTATCTGGAAGGGGACGGGGAAGCTCATCCAAAGGAGGGCGCTTTTTCTTTCTTTCTTCATGGGGTTTTTTGTTTCTAATAACAGCTGTTTTTTGTGGTCTTTTTTTCTTATCTTTTCTAATAACAGCTTTCTTTATTCTAATAACAGCTTTATAATTCACCTTTTAAAAGTATGCGAGTCACCAGCTTAATTTTAGTACATTCAGAGTTGTGCAACCATTTCTACTGTGTAACTTTAGAACACCTTCATCACCCCTAAAAAGAAACCCCATACCCATTAGCAGTCACTGTCCATCTCCTGCTCCTCCCAGCCCGGGCAACCGCTCACCTGTTTGGTATCTTTGGATAGTTCATATATACGGACTCACACAGTATGCGCTTGTGGTTGTCGAGTTGTCCCCGTACCATTCGCCGAGAAGACTGCTCTGTCCCCTTTCATTGGTCTTCATACCCTTGTCAGAAGTTGGTTAGAGGTGTGTGTTTACCTCTGGAGTCTCAGTTCTGTCCACTGGTAGATGTCTGTTCTTACGCAGTACCACCCTGTAACTTCGTAGTAAGTTTTGAAATGGGGAAGTCTGAGTCCAGCTTTGTTCTTTGTCAAGATTGTTTTGGTTATTCGGGTTTCCTCAAAGTGTTAAATGAATTTTAGGATCAGCTTGTTTGTTTCTGCAAAAAGGACAACTGGAGTTTTGATAGAAGTTGCATTCAGCCTGTAGATCAGTTTGGGGAATTGCTCAATTGTCTGTCTTTATAGCATTAAGTCTTCCAGTCTGTGAACACAGAGCGTCTTTCCATTTATTAGGCTTTAAATTTCTTTCAGCACTATTTTATAGTTTTCAGCGTGCAAGTCTTGTGCCTCCTTGGTTGAATATATTCCTTTCCTTTCTAGGTCTAATACCAAATAATAGTTTTACCTCTTTCTAGACAATGCAAGTACCTTAGAAAAGTTTCTCCTCAAGGTCAATATACACAAATCAGCAAAATTCAATATCCTAGCAACAGACAGTTGGAACTAACAGCAGCTCGTAAGCTGCTGGGAACAGCCCAGCGGGGAGCAGGGGGAACGCGTCAGTCACTAGAAGGCCGTCCTTGCGCAGGTGAGAGGGAGTGAGCTCTGGGCCCCAGTGGGGAACGTGACCTGGCAAAGCGCACAGACCGTTAGTGGCGGAGAGAAGGCAGCACGTACAGAAGGTGGGGAGGGGTGTTTGGAAGCACGTGGCCAGTCTTCTGAGTGCTTCCATTTTGCCAGGGAAGTAGGAAGCAGGGTCACCGGCTGGGAGTGAGGATGGGGAGAGAGTGTCGGGTATCTGAGAACTGAATGCGTGCCAGCAGAGAAGGGTGCTAGGATTGCCACATCACTGACCCGTCTGGATTTTGTTCTGCTGAGGGAATAAAGTAGGGATGTAACTTCCTTTCTCCCGGTACCCACCGACCCTGTCACCGTGCATCCATTCACTGAACACTTTCATGACCTTTGTTAGTTATGTTCTTCCTCCCATTAGTCCTCCTTTTTCAACGCAGTCTCTTCTCTTCCATTTACCTAGTCCCTCTGAAAGGCTAGAATTTTTCTTTGCCAGCTTTCGTAGTGCATTCCACAATATGACTGCTATATTTAGGGTTTTTCAACAGTGGAGAACTACCAGACTAAAAGGTAGAGCCATTTCTGGTTCTGTTTGTGTCCAGTCAGTCAGGGCATTAGCCATGAGTTACCCACCTTCCAGGGAAAGGGAGGAAGGTCTCTCTATGGTCAGGTCTCTCCCAGCCAGAGAGGTGAGCCCTGTTAAGGACCCTACATAGCAGTAGGCAGGCATGGCTCCTCTGAGGGATTCCTCAGCCTTCTTCCTACCCTCTGCAGGGAGCCACCAAACACGTGGTCTTTGCTCTGGGCCTTGTCACATCAGTGATCCTTACCCTTGCCCCAGAGGAGCCAGCGTGCTTGTCCTGGCTGTTTCGTTTTTCTAGAGATGGAGTCGAGGCCCTGTACTCAGGCTGACATCTTCCTAGCTTTTCCACTGTGATTTATTTCATTTAAAATTAACTATAAATCCAGATTTCTACGGCTGTTTCCTGAGGGAACAATTCCATAAGATTTCTGTCCCTTTGCTTCTCCATCTTTGAACCAGGAATTGTACAGCCAAAAAGAGAATTTCCCTCTTGAGAGACCGTTAGGCATTTGTGCGGACTAGGACGGCACTCTCCTCAGTTCTGTACAGTTAGCCTCTTGCCTGTGAAGAATTACCGCATTGTTTGTTGGACATTCATGAAGCACATGCCACGCGCCCTGCGGGGCTCCTGGAAGTTTAGGGAGACGTGATTTCTGTCCTCACGTCTTTCTCTCTGAGGCACAGACAAATGGAGTCAGACTAGTGGGGAATGCCTATGGAGGGCACGCAGACCGGGGTGTCATGGAAGGCCTCCCAGAAGAGAGAATTCTGTAGACTGCGGAGAGCTAGGTCTTTCCATTTTACCCGATCTGACAATGACTTTTAAGTTTGTTGCGGACACATTCAGTGTAGTTATTTATATAATAGGGTAAAAGTGTACTCTGTTGCTGGTTTTCTGTTTGTTTCATCAGCTCCGTTTTCCTTTTCTATTTTTTTCTACCTGCTTTTGGATTGAGTATTTTTTATGATTGCATTTTATCTCCACTATTAGCTTATTTTTACTTCGTTTACAATTCTTTAAAATTGTTTTTAGTAGCTGATCCACAATAGACCTTTTAAAGTAATAACAGTCTACCTTCGAATAATACACTGCTTCTTGTGCAGTGTAAGGACCCCACACCAGTGTGCCCCCAGTCCTCCCATCGTGTGGTAGCTTGTCATGCGTCTTGCTTTTTCATATGCTGTAAACTCACAACACGCTTGGTACTCTTCTGCTTTGTCAGTTAAATTTTAGAGTGAGGAAAAATAAGAGAAGAAATTTTACATTGACTCTCCTTTTAGACGTTTCCATGAATCTTCACGTCTTTGTGTAGATCCAGGTTTCTCTCTGATGCCGTATTACTTCCCCCTGAAGAACTTCCTGTAATAGTTCTTGTCATTCAGGTCAGCTGGTAATGAATTCTGTTTTTGTTTGTCTGGAAGAATTGGAAGAGTATCTAGTCCTTTGATTTCTTAAATCATGATTTTCTCTTATTGAGGTAAAATTCATACACCATAGAATTCTCCCTTTTAAAGTGAATGGTAATTTTTAGTATGTTCAAAATGTTGGGCAACCATCATCGCTATCTAATTGCAGAACGTTGTCACCCCAAAAAGAAACCCACGCTCACTGTTAGTGTCTTTCTGCCCCAGCATCTGGCAACTACTGTCTTCATTTTTGAAAGGTATTTTCACTGTGTGTGGAATTCTGGGTTAGCAGTTTTTCTGGTTTTTTTTCCAGCACTTTTTAAAAAGTGCTCCGTTGTCCCTGGCTCTCACAGTCTGAGAAGCCTGTTGTAATTCTTGTCTTTGTCTTCTGTTTGTAACGTGTGCTCCTCCACTTCTCACTCCCCAGAGCCTTTACGATTTTCTCTTGGGTTTTCAGTAGTTTGAGTATGATGTGTGTAGGGGGTGTGTGTGTGCTTGACATGTTTTCTGAGCTTCTTAGATCTTTGGTTTGATGTCTCTAAGGTTTTTGGAAAGTTCTCAGCCATTTTGTGTTCAGCTATTCCCTCTGCCCCATCTTCTCTTTTCTTTTTGGTATTCTGATTATACCTGTGGTGGTTTGATATTGTCCCATAGTTTTTGGATATTCTGTTCTGTATATTTCATTTTTTTTCTCTGTGGTTCAGTTTGGGTAATTTTTATTGACCTCTTTTAAAGTTCACTATTTCTCTTTTTATATTTTATTTATTTATTATTGAATTATTTACTTTTATTTTGGCAGGGAGGGGAGCTAATTAGGTTTTTTTCCTTAAGAGGAGGTCCTGAGGATTGAACCCAGGACCTTGTGCATGCAAAGCATGCACTCTACCAGTTGAGCTATACCCTCCCCCACAATTCTTTCTTATTTCACCAAAATTCCTTATCTGTTCATGCATGTTGTCTACCTTTTCTGTAAGAGCCTTGATACAGTAATTCTAATTTAGATTCCTGTCTAATTAGTTTCAGCATTTGGGAAATAAAGTCTCTTGAATCTGGTTCTGTTGATTGCTGTGTATCAGGGCATTTCACTGCTGATTTCTGGCTTTTTCATGTGTCCTGTAATTTTTTTTTCTCATTCAGCCATTTTTTAATTTACAGTTTGTGTTTAATGCAAATCAGTTCCATCACATGAGAAGTTACTATGAATCAAAGCATAAATACACAAACACAATATACAATCCAAAATACGTGTACAGCATTCAGGTGTGAAACGAAAGGGAATGTTCATTCACACACACGGCAGCTTGAGATCTGTGGATACGGTTGTTCCAGTGTAGGTTCCTAAAGACGGGAGATAAATGACTGTGGTTATCCAGACTGCTGTGCCATTGTAGCCATCAGAGCATCTAAGCATCAGGGCGTGACCACGCGAACCAAAGACTCAAGGGAGTGTCTATTTCTAAAAAGGTCTCTGTGCATTGAGGCAGTTGTGAAAAGACTTACTTTCCAAAATCAAGCCCACTTTAGGCTGAGGACCAGGTTCTAACTATCTAAACATACTGACTGTTAACAGAAACTGTTCCAAATGTGGCTACTCTGATTCCGTTTTTTTAAACATATTTACAGAAAAAAGTAGAAAAGTTTTTCTGAATTTGATGTAAGCAGGCTTCCAGTTTTCCCCTCCCAAATACTTGATTACCGCTTGGCTCCTTCATGTATTTGCCTTTTAATTTCAAGATTTGTCAATTTAACCTTCAAAAGAGACCATTTTTAAAACCATAAAAAACATTCAACAGATGCAGAAATAAAAAGCATTTTGAAATTAGTTGAGGTCCGTGTACTTGTACTCTGTTATCAGTTTAGCTAACAGAATCTAGTGCTCTTATTGGATAAGAATAGTTGATAAGGATGTAAGCAACATGTGCTGTTATGCTTGGATCTGGGGTAGATGCCAGCCCATTATTGCCCTGGCACATGTCAAATGCAATGTCAAGTCCAAAGTCCCAGAGGAAGGAGTTCGGTGTCGAAGAGAACGGTGATAGTTTAACATAAAACTTTATCCAGATCGGCATTCAATTAGAGCTGCTGAAAGTGAGGATTTGCAGTAACACCTTCTAATGTACATATAAATAGAACCACGGAAGCTTTCTGTATTACCTAATTGTTTCATGGCCTTATAAATTTAATGAACGAAATGAAAACTGAATCTCTGTTCCACATCCCATCCTTATCTCTAAGTAAGATAATAATCTGTTCTCATCTGCAAAGTAAAGTTTTATGTGTCCACACTTCTTAAGCCACATTTAAGGAAATCAGCTCTTAACTAATTTTGGATGTTGTCTCTCCATCTTGTACAGGAGACTCCAGCAGATTTAGTACTGGCATTCATCATCTAGTCACACCCTTCACATGCTCTTCAAACCAATCAAGTTTGGGGTCCTCAACATTTTCTGTCAATAAAATAAGGTGTGGAGGTAGCAGATTGATTCAGTGAAGACTTTTCCTTGTCACACTGGGTGTCTAGATGCCATATGAATTGAGTTTCGAAGATGGGGAAATACAGATGTTTCTTGGCCTGCGTCTCTTAGCAGTAGAGATGTAGAAGGGAGACCGAGATCGTGAAGAGACTGGCTGTTGACTGCAGGGCACCGTTATTTGCCTTGGTGGTGGCATTAGCTGGATTTGGGGCAGCCGAGGTAGTCTGGGAGGAGTTCCTTGAAACTGGTGGAACAGTTGTTTGATTTGAATAAACCTGCGTAGGTCAGAGGAGTGCCCGGAGCAGCCGCCCCAGTCCGAGCCTGGCCACCACCGCTCCGCCTGTGTCCGCTCCGTGGGTGCGCGGCGCGTCTCACTGGATGCTGGTGCGTGGAGGACAGCTGGCTCTGGGCTGGCGCTGGAAAGGTTGTGTCCTGTAATTTTTGAGCAATTGCCAGACATAGTAGGTAGGACAGATACTGAGATAATATTTATGTCTGGAAACGGGTATGTTTATTCTGTTAGGCCATTAATGCCCAAGATTGTCGATCTTATCAGGAGCTGAACTGGGTTTGGGTTTTGTTGTTCACCACAGGCTTTAAGTTTCTCTGGTGTCACCTTGTCTTTAGGGTAAGGCTTGACCTTCCAGAGGGTTTTTCTCAAAAGCCCTGCTTCCTGCAAGCTGTTGTTACTTCCCTTTGTGCCTGTGCCTTAGAGAAGAGGCCTGCGGGAGCCTCCCCAGGCTCTGCCCCTTTCCCAGAATGAGATCGCTGTTGCTTGTCATCCCTGCTTGCTCACCTGCAGGGGCTGGAAAGTTCCCTGTTGTCTTGGTTCAGTCTCAGTCTCGGGCAGAACTGTGTCCTTGGCTCTCAGCCTCAGCCCTTCTTGACGATCCTGCTCCTTTCCCAGCAAGTAGAGTTTTTTTTCTACCCTTCTCCAGCCTCAGTGAGTCTCTACCTGTATTTTAGGGGCAATAAGGATTATTATTACTTGTCCCCCGGCCTCTTAAGGTTTTGGTTCCTTAGAGGAGAACTGATCAGGTGAGGCGGAAGAGCTCCCAGCCTCTGGGCATGTGCCGGTTGCCGGCTTTCTCCAGGCTGCTGCCCCCAGTCTCCAGCTTCCCTGATGTCTGCAGCCCCTGAGGGTTCTGTTCTCTCAGGCTACCCCACTCTCTGCATTTAGCAATTTGATGATAATTGCATCTGAATTCTTACCTGCTGCAGGAAGGCCTTGTTTTCCTCCTGTTGCCACGGGGAAGCCAGTATTCTTGTCTCATCTCCCCTTGGACAACCCTGTCTTTCTACAGAGGTCAGGCTAATTGGTTGCCTTATGACTTCAGTCCTCTGATGAGTTTAAGAAAAGTTATGGCTATTTAGATTATCTCGTTTTTTTCTTATTGTTAGGATGGAGGTGACACTCTTTCCAGCCTTCTGTATTCTAGGCCTTGAACTGAATCTTAAATGGCAAGTTGGGGTTGGCATGATGAGAAAGGGCAGGGCAGACGTTTTGGGCAGAGGAAATTTGCTTCGGCAAGACACAGGGGCATGAAATTGCACTAGAGCTCATTTACAAGCAGCGGGGTTTAATCCAGATTCACACTGTAAGTGAAAACCCAAATGATTGATGCTCTGGATCATGGGAGGCCTAAGTACCCACTGAAGGAGTTAAATTGTGCTGTGAAGCATTCAGGAGTCCTACATCTATAGCTTCAGTGAGCACTTGCCACCACGCCTCTTTTCTTTGGCAACATGGATCAGGGGGAGTTAGTAAGGCATGGGCTGAATTACTTCTGAAATGACTGCGATGCTCTCAAGTCTGTAACAGGACCCAGGCTGCAGGAGAAGGCGGCTGCTGAGTATCTAATTGGCCCTGGATTTTGCTTCCAGTCAGACAATGCCGGTGCTGCAGACAGTCCTGAGGACTGGGAGAAAGTCTGGGACAACTGGCGGCTGCTGACAATGGCCGGGGTCTTTGACTGCTGGAAGCCCCCGGATGGGGGAGACTCCCTGTACTCCTACACCATCATCACAGTGGACGCCTGCACAGGCTTGAAGAACATCCACCAGAGGCAAGTCACACTCCTGATCCCTGCGCCCACCAGGATTTAGGGAGGCATGGTCCTGTTTGCTTTCAGATAGCAGGCTTTTGGAATTCAAAGTTTCTGTATACACAGATTTAGAGGGTGGGAAGCTAAGACGGTTGCTTCACAAAATACAATTAATTGTCAGGTTGGCTCTAACACGACATGCTTCCCTAAAAATCACCATACTGTGCAGAGTTGTGCAGTGAAAGCCACAGGACTTAAGAGAAAAGTGGAAATAAGGGGATAACACTGAAATTTTGTCAGTAACACATTAAAAAATAATAGGAATCTAATAAAAACAGTATTGCAGTTTCATACATTAAGTGGTTAAGGAATACGTAGTTATTACAGGGGCACTTGACCTGAAAAAAAACCCTAAACTGGCTTGTGGAATGAATGTCAGAAGAGGTGCGATTCGTGAGATACTGTGAAGTGGTGGAAGGAAGATTACACAAAATTTTTTATCTTTTGAGATCTTAAATCCTGAGCCATGTTTTTCTGCCTTCGAAATGTTCCTTCAAGGCCCACGTTCATAACAGACTGAACACTCTGATCCAGTGTATAGCCTCCGCCAGTGAACTTCAGCATCAGCACTAGGAGCTCTGTAGCAGTGCCTCTATCTGTGCGCACGTCTTCTCCCGAAGCTGTTCCAGCCGTGGACGTTCCTTTCCCCACAGCGTTGTTACTGATGTGGGGTCTTTTATGTGTGTTGCTCGGGAGATAGTTCATGTTCTTGCTTTCAAGATGCCTTTCCATTATTTGAAGTTTCTCCTCAAGACCTAGAAGTCTTCTGTTTGCATGTACTGCTCAGCGTGTTTTAGCCAGGAAGCTGAGACACATTTGAGATGTTGAATAAGATTTTTTGACACAGAGAACAGTGTACAAATGCAGAATGAGAGGATAACGTGCAGTGAGCCGAGCAGCTGTCTGTGTTTGTGGTGCGCAGGGATGTGCGTTCTGTGGACTCCTACAGGGCTCACTTCAGCGGGTGTGGATTTCTGTGTTCACTCTCAGTGTTTCTCACAGACAAAACCGTGTATATATAACTTAAGCAAAATTTGCATTACGCTTCAGTTGCTCTCTAATATATTAATCACGTTGGGGACAGGCTTGCATTTTAAAAACAAGCATCAGCAGAACTGACTATGCCTGTGTGACACCGCACAGGTCTGCCAGATCTGAGAGCCCTCAGAAGTAACTTCATGATATTTTGCTGAAAAGAATGCTGTGCTGCACATACTGTTACCCATTTTGGTTTGGTCCTATGCGTTCTGTCTGAAGTGATGCTTTCAGGGGGTATAGGACTTCTATTTTTTGCTAATTCACCTTAAAATAAATTCCTATTCAGCTAACCTAAAAACCACTGGTTTTTAATTGTGCCACTATTTTATATGCTGTTAAGAAAAGTGCTGCTAATTAAACCATAACACAGTGCAGAGATGCCATTCATCATAAAATGATCTGGGTTTTAGAGATATTTTTAAATACTTTTTTAAAGTACACATGTGATTTTTTGAGGCGACAATAATTATTAAAATAGATGTTTATGCATTCATCTTACTTCGACTGTACCACCCACCAGTGAAATGTGTGCAGTCTTTGGATTGGCCGACAACATGAAATTAGAAGCTAAACAAGGGATCTTCTGCTAACATCTTCCTAGCACTGGGAGTCATCTGGGGCAGCCGCTTTGCTCTCCTGAGCCTCAGTGTCCTTTTGTTCCCAGTTACGTGAATAGCTCTTCGTTACACAAACCTGCCCTGGGTGGTGAGGCTGGAGAGTACTGTTGATAGACAAGGTTCCTGGGATTTCTCTTCCCTTTGAATGTTGAAAGGTCCCCAGTCTGGTAGCATGTGCGCTAGGGTGCCCGGGATCCAGTCACAGCACTGTCACTGCCTTCGCTATCACCGTTGGCAGGCTGGCTCTCCGGGTGCTGAATTTGTGCCCTGGGAAGTGGTGCCGGGGCCCCGGGCAGCAGGGCAGCAGTTAGCGTGAGAGGCGCAGCGAGGGTGAGCGGGTGAGCTGCTGCTCGTGGTGGTGGTGGCGGTTTGCACCGGGAGCTGACGAGGCCTCTCTCCCTCTCTCCCTCTCCCTCCCCTCGCTCTGCTGCTCCCAACCACTGTCTTGACCTTGCTGGCCAGGATGCCAGCCATATTAGATGGAGAGGAGGCAGTCTCTAAATGGCTGGACTTCGGTGAGGTCTCAACTCAAGAAGCGCTGAAGCTGATCCACCCCACAGAGAACATCACCTTCCATCCGGTGTCTTCCCTGGTGAACAACTCACGAAACGATGCCCTTGAGTGTCTGGTTCCCGTCAACTTGCTGGTCAGAAAGGTAGGGCCTGTGACTCCAGCAGTCCTTTTTGAGCTTTCTGTCTTGTGTTAGTGTGGCCTATTCATTTATGATATGGCCTTTTACAATTGGAGCTTTAGTATAAACCACCCAAAACTCCTCTCCCTTGTGCACAGCCAGGCGGCCCAGAGCAGTGGTTCTTGGAGCTGGCTGTGACTTGGTGCTCAGGAGACCTCTTTCAAAACGGAAATGCTGGCCCTGAGACCTGCTGTGTCAGAACTCAGGGCGGGGCTCGGGCTTCTGTGTCATTAAGACGCTGCTTGGTGAATCTTTGATAAAAAGCCAAATTTGAGGACTCCTCCAGGGTGACTGTGCGAAAGGCATAGGAGCCCTTGACCATGACTGCATCTCGGTCCCCAGCCAAGTGTATGCCTTTTACATGTCTCTTCTGTACCTCTGCTTTCCCAAGTACAAGATGGAGGAATTCCAGTCCTCATTTTCCTTCAGGAGGATCTGAGAACATTCCTGCTGTGAACTTTAACTTATAATTGGCAAGGATCTGGAATATGTATCCTGAAGGGAAGGTGAACAGGCAAAAGGCCTGCAGTGGGAGGTTCCAGAGCAAGAGCTGGCCCCTGCTGACATCCGGGGACAAAGGCTTAGGAGTAGCTATGTTCCTAGGTGGCCTAGGGGGACCTAAGTAAGACATGGGTCTGTGTTCCAAAACAGACACCTTAGACTGTCTGAGAAGCGTGAAGGACGGTGATGGCGGGAGCAGCCACCCCGTCTCCATTTTCCCTAAGGTTTGTTAAGGTTTCATGCTCAGTCTCATCTTTCCTCTTTTGTCTCAGTTCTCTCAAACTCCTGTGCCCCTAACATTTTTTCATTAGCTGTCTCTAAAAATGTAATTATATATATTTACTTTGCACTCGACACTGCCGCATTTCTGCCATGTCTTTACTTCAGAAGAATTCACATTCTGGAGAGGGGGCATTGTGTGGATTCAGAATCTGCAGTTGAGGGTTGGGGTGTGGGTGTAAGGGCGTGGAAGGGGCAGTGCCAGTGGGGGAGGGGCTGTGGGGGCTGCACGCTGTGAAACAGCTACTCTCTGCAGCCGTGGGCTGAATCCATCCTCATCGCGCTGTCTCCTGCTCACGTCCCCACACTGGCTGGTCACACTGATGGACATTCTTTTCCCTGAGAACACCCACTCTCTGCAGGTGCTGGGAATGCCTGGCAGCTGTCTTCTCTAACGGGTCTAAGCCTTCCTAGAGCTACTCCCTGCTCCTTGCCCCCTGGAACATGCTCAGTTGCTCCCCTCCTCCCATTCCGGATTAGTGGCCCCGTCTGGCCCTTAGAAACATTTTCCATACCTGGATCAGTATCTAATGCCTCTTTCCGTTTCTTCTCTTGGAGTTGGCCTCTTCCCAAAAGCCTGAGCTTGGGTGGTTTGAGCTTTTTCTTCTTTCTCCTAGGAGCTCAAGTCAAGTAGCAGCAGCCAGAAGATGTTGCAGTGGCTGGCCACAAAGTCACCCAAAAAGGAAGGCCCCAAAACACCCCAAAAGGCAGAATCAGATGTGCCCCCGTGGTCCAGCCAGTTCCTCCAGAAGAGCCCAGTGTCCCCCAAGAGAGGCAGTGCAGGACTCCTGGAGCGGTGGCTGAAGCGGGAGAGGGAGGAGGAGCCCGAGGCCAAGCGGCCGTGCACTGAGTAGGGCGGAGCGTTCCGAGACCAGGCCCGGTGTGCTGCGCTTTTTCAGTACGCTGTGGAGGCGGGCGCCGGCGCGGTCTGTGGGTTTGCTTGGGAGGAGCTAGCACAGTGTGGGTGAACAGTGGTGGCTTCTTGGGGGAGTAGCTGTCCTGGCTGTGACCCAAATGCAGTGGGGCTGTGGGGCAGCCTGAGAGGAGGGAGGGCCACCACCGTCCCCTCGTGGTGTGTGCCCACAGCCCTCTCCTGGTGGGATGGTGGATCCGACCTGGTGCTGCCAGCAGAGGCTGTTTTCTGCTCAGCCTTTGGGCTCTTCCAGCCTTTTGGAATTAAGTTCTTAAAACATTGTGCTTTTTTCCTGTGTACATTATATTTGATAAACTGCGTACATTTCAGAAAATGCTGCTGGTGGGAGGCATTCTGGATCTGTTTCCTGGCATCAGCCCTAGGGAATGGATTTTGTCACAGATACGGGGCACTGGGGCTTTCTGTGGACAAAACTTCTTTGGAAACAATAAAAAGGCTTGATGAGGGGCTCTTTGTTGAGTCTCTACTTGGAAGCTGTCTGAATCCGTTAACTTCAAACCAGCCTGAGAGAGTGCCTGCCGAACACAGGGGTTGCAGAGGCCAAGACCCGCCTTTACACGGGGAGGGAGGATGTGGGTGAGGAGAGGCCCCGGCCACGCAAGGAGCCGGCCGGACTCCGGGGGCTGGCCGTCCGCCGCAGCCTGGTCAGCGCCTCTGTCCTCCCTGACGCGAATCGCTTTATAATGAGATGTTTGTTTGGGTGGTCGTGGGCTGTCCTCCCCCCACCCGGACGAGTGGGGCCGGGAAGGAGAGCGCGGGTAGCAGCTTG